ACAACTTCCAGTACCTCTCCCTGGATCGTAAGTGGCGTGTTCAGTGACTGCACGTCCACAAGCATGACCTTACACTTTGTGGGTGTAAAGTGCATAAGGACGGACGGGATGACTTTGGTCAGTTCATCCGAGAACGCTTGCTCCTCTTCCTCCTCTTTGAACACGCATGTGACCCAACCGAATTTACTTTCAGTTCCAGCAGTATTCGTTGGGATTCACCTGGATGTAGTCTAGTTTAGAAATATTCTTTACCGACGAGGTGCGTTCGATGTCATGAGTCGACTGAAGGCAGAAAGTTTGATCAGTCCATCACCATTTTCGCCACATAACTCCCTTCTCTGGCGTCATCTGAAGCATTGGTCATCGTGTTCCGGTCAATAGCGATGACCAGTTTTCCTAGCTCATTGTGGAATTCGTCTGACGGAGATGACCAGCGGCGTAGTGGCGGCTTAGGCAAACACCATGGTCAGGTTCACCTGAGGGCCATTCACTCCAGTCCTATGAATTTTGGGCACTACGAGCTCCCAAAATTATGGTGCGTCGCGGATGCGGTTAAAGATTAGAGTAGATTGGAATGGTAAACCTTTTAACTTTGGCACAGTCATTAGGGGATCTCACTCTTTGGATTCTGATGCGCTATGGTCCGAAACAGAGTCTTTGCTTCTGAAGTTCAAGCAATGTTAACTAGGTAGTCGTAGAGGTCTCGCATAGTTGAACTCTAGTCTCGGTTGCCAAGTCGAATACAGATATTCCAACAACCTACATTCAGTGCGTTTTTGGTTTTCAGGGAAATGGTAGGCTGTTTATCAAGATTTGGTCACCATGTTCACTGAGCCAGCGCCAAGAACGTCGAGCGACGCTGCGGTTTCTGTACCTCTGTGACCCACTGAACTATAGTGGTGGGTTTCATTTTCACACCTTCAGAGGTTGGTCAGTGGATAGAGGTGTGACGAACAGTCCACTGTTTCTCTAGGTTGGAGGCTACAACCGACGCTTTTGCGTATTCCTCAAAAGCTTGCATTACTTTGTTAGTACGCCGGAACCAACTCTCTGCCCTACGGTCAGGCTTTTGAGCCAAAGGCTTTGGTTGAAGGCCCTTGTCTTTCTCTTATCTAAATGTGGGTACCCTGACAGTATTCCAACCCACATACAACCATAAGCGTTTCAACTAAAAGCACTATCATACCAAATTAGCCGTCGCGTGGAATCATTCATCCGACTCACCTTACTTGCTACGTACATCAGGGCGGTCGAGCGAAATTACTGCTGCTAACATCTCCCTTACACTTTCGCACATTCCCCACCCCACTCCAATTTGAATTCTCTCTGTTTAGGTCCAAGTACTACGACTGCCAGCTTTGTTCGCCATGTATCCTCCTCAGCTACAGCTTCTGTGCATCTAACTTCACTAACAACCTTAAACATTTCGAAGCCTGTTTTCACACTCCGAAATTCAGTTTATCTGGCTGCTTTCAATGTCTGCACACTGAAGGAAGCAGGACAAAAGGTGACTTGCTCGTACGCTGGACTCCTCCTGCATGCTGTCTGCCCGCAACACGGATCCAGGACTCAGAGGTGCTGGCAGCTCACCTCTGATGAAACACAGGCCACTGCTTGTGGTTATATCGGAATGATCCATCGAGCAGAAACGTTCCTACACGGTCCTATATCTGCTGATAGTTACCCTCAAGTGGTTCGCTCGGCAACGAGTAGGAAATAGAGGTCCATCGCTTACGCCCTGTCGGACTGTAGCTAAAATGACAGGCGTCGTTGTGGCTGCTGGTGACGTGAATACCCAGGCAGATGGGCTAAGCCTTGCTGGGACTCGATCGGGTGGTCGTCTTGGGTTGTATACGAGACTCGCGGACAACGGAGAGCGTCTGATATAGGCACGTGCCCATCATTGACTACCAATTTTAGGAACATCGGAGACACTTGACAACGTTGTGCACACCAACGAACCAGTCCCGAAACCAAGTAGATCTCATTGCGGTTGGGTCAACCTATACTGTACTTGTCCAGATTACCCACATGTCTTGGTTTTCTTTGACTTCAAGGATGTGTTTGATTTTGTCACTCGATCACTTGTTGGGCGCAAGATGCCTCACAAGTTTGCGAACATAATCCGGTCCTTATTTTCACGTACTTCCGGGCGCGTGAGAGTGTATGAAGTGTCCTCTAAAATCTGTACATAAATTGGTGTCCTTTTTCGTTCAACTTCATCACTGATGAAGTGATGAAGCAAATGTTGAAGGGCCTTCAAAACTTCGGTGTTAAAGTCGTTATCGGTGAAAACATTGTCCATATAGAGTACGCGGACGAAATCGTCCTAACGAAGACCAAGAAATTGTTCAGCTGTAACACCCTTTCGCTGCCTAGCTGTTATGCCACCCGAAGGAAGCACGACTGCTGGGATACTGCCATTCTGCCAAATCCCAGACAGAGGAAGTCGAGATGAAGAGGCCTGGGCAAATCCGTGCTCTAATCACTGAGCCATGTCGTTTCCCCTCACAGACCAAGCACAACAACCGTTGACTACACTGGCCGCCGACATACAATCTCAGTGTGTGCCCTACACGTACAAGGTTCAAAGTCATGCTTTAGAACGCGTAGTCTCCGAACATACCTCTCGCAACTGGAGTGACGCTGGAGGTTTTGAGAGTTTTACCCACTTGTATTAGTTCTGGTGATAGCATGTCTGATGAAGTCAGTGCATGAATCTAGAGATTCCGAATCACGTTTACCAATTTGCGTCAGTTTTGGTCAAAAGGGCATGATGTGAGGCATCCTCGGGTTTTTGACCATCAGTGCATCAGGAGCGTTGCTGCTGTCGAATGACATAAACGAATTCGTAGCGGAGTGAGTAGAAAACGTGTTGGTGGTGTGAAGAGATTTGGGATTTTTGTGGAGATTTCGTCCTGTAAGTGAAGCCAATCTATGCTGAAAAGCCGAAAGTGAAACCTCCGTTTGAGAAGTCGTTACTCGAGGAGCCAGTCAACTCCTTATTGGGAATCATCAGCAGTGCGCATCTCACGAAACTCCGAACGGTCTCGAACCCGCGACCTCCCGGCTAGTAGTTTGAACACTTAACCGTTCGGCCACGAGTGGCTGGTCAGCAGTGTGATTAACTTGCACTTAGACAGGATATAGTGCCGCTCATCCTTCAATCACGGGATCCACATCACGCGGTCACACGTGTTGACTGGCTCCTCGAGTAACGACTTCTCAAACGGAGGTTTCACTTTCGGCTTTTCAGCATAGATTGGCTTCACTTACAGGACGAAATCTCCACAGAAAACGTGTATTTGTCTGTAATTCAGCCACGGAAATCATCTGGTACCATCAAATGCGGTGGCTCGCTCATGTGTTACGAATCGTCATTAGATCCACCAAGAGCATCAACACTGATGCTTCGCTGCCGTGCTGCGATTGTCAAAACATCGCCTATAGGGGCGATTGCTGTTCTCCGAACCTCAATCAGAACGGTCGAGCTTCAAGGTCGACAACTTGTGGGTCGTGTGAGTTTTGGCCTTGTTAGTGCAGTTCGCCTTCTCGGATAAAGCCCCCGTGACTCACGTGCACTTGGCTGGAGACATTGCAAAAAGTAGTGACTTATCAATGCCATTGACGTTTATGCTGCCAGTTTCTTTGCAAATTATCGACTGAGAGCTTTGAGGTGTAGGTACTTCAGAATACTTGCGGTGGGCTATCACGAGGTCCCTCCCTCCCCTCATCTACTTTTTCCTTTTTGCACTTTAAGACTGAAGATGTAGTTAAATATACCTTGAGATCGTGCGGCAGTGAGGCATCAGTGTCTGTAGTGATTGTGATGTAACGAACGGCCGATGACGGTACTGTTTGCTCGTTCATGGGCGTCATCCTGGACAATAAAATAAGATTATTAAGTAGTTCAACTGGAGCACCCAGTACTTATATATATCATGTCTCCTCTTTAGCAAACTGGCAAATACCATGGAAGTTTGCAGTAGCTTAACAACTACACACCGTCTTAGGTTACAAATGCACCCATCCCGAGTAGCTATGATGTACATGTTCAGTGCCTACAAGACGACAAACTACTCTGCCTTGTGGAAAGCCCAACGATTTGACGCAGACCCTTCTTGACCTTCCTGTACAAGTACACTCGCCTGAAAGCAGAAAGCCTTTCTTCGTCTTTTCGATTTAAACCGCTTGACAGGCGTAACTGACGTGGTTCTTTTAACGCCGGCTTGGAGAATAGCTGGTTGTCAACTTAATCCTGTTTGGTTCATTACCAGTTGCTAATTTTGTAGTTGATGAGCTAGATGGATGCCTATTCTCGAGAAATACACTCACTTGCAAATCAATTTGGTTTTCACGAGAGACTCAACTGAACCTAGGTGAATTGCAACTAAGTGTATTTCTCGAAAGCAGTCTAATTTGGGTCCAATTAGAACATAAGGGGAACTCGGGAACTGCGCCTACCTGATGAGCTCAAAGAAGGGCGAAACCGGTCGTAGGCTGTCGAAGAATTTTCAGCAACCTTGTGAGTAGTTTCTTTATGAGAGTGCCCATCCTCTTATTAGATCGCATTGTCTGAAATGGCATTTGTGGCCGATAAGTTGATAAACGTAAATTTATTTGTCGCATATATATGTAAATTATATATATATATATATAGTATAGGAAAGTCATTAATGAAATTGCTTTCTGTAACAACGGCGGCTTGTTTTACCTGGAATATACAGACGTCACGCCTGCACGTTCCTTTCCTAACCATCGCTTTTCTCACTCTAAAGCTTCGAAACTCGTTAATCAATTTTTGTTGTCTCGAGAAGTGAGATATAACTTTTTGTCGCCTGATTCGTTTTGCAGTCAATTTGTCGTATACTTTGTGGCGGTGTGTTTAGTGCAGCGAACGGTGTGTGGATTGACTAGGCAATATAGCAGTCCATGGATTCACGTACAAAGAACCACTTCCGTCTTACTGTACATTTGTACTGTATATTTTTGGTTTATAGGTTCTCAAATGTGCCGCTACTCTGTACAGAAAGTTCAATGACCTTGGGAACGCAATACGATGCGCTGTGCGTTTAAATGACATGGAACTTATCCGCGCCATTTTTGAAGAGTCAGCCAAAGACGCCGGTTCATCGTCCGGTTCCGGAACAAGCGTTCAACGGCAGCTTGCTTATCTACTTGGAAAACAAGGCGTAGTTCTTCCGGATGATGAGAATTCCGTGGATGAGGAGCTGACGGAAATGCTGTGGAACACGCGTCTTTCCGAACACTTCCTGGCACTCGGGCGGGAATTGGACATAATGGAGCCAAAGGTAGGTTCTCTTTAACCGAGTTTACTTCACTTCGGGATCTGACTGTTGGATTGGCCCTTTGGCTCTCGATTGTCGTACATGGCTGACTTGCAGATAGCGGTTCATATTAGAACAAGATGGCGACCTAACTCTTGAGGTGGTTGTAATCGATTTCTCTATCGGTTGTTGACTCAAAAACACAAGGTGATTAGCGCCTACAAAAGGGAGCGGCGACATACCGCACTGCATAAAGGAGACGGGACTTGCTTCTCGATAACTCCAAGTTTGCAGTGCTGTTGAACCGTTCTGCGGGTATTAATTATTTCACTTTAGGTTCATCTTGGTCACCAAATGCGCTGTCTGCTTTATTTATCTTGCTGTCAGTGAAGCGAATTATGTTTTGTGCTACTTGACTAGTTAGTAGTAGGTGCATCTTTGTTGTTGTTTGCGTCGTTCTGGTCGTTTAGGGTCCGTTGAAATGGTTTCTCACTGGAGTTAGCTGATTCCTACAAAATGGGCTTTTTCCTCAAATGCCAGTGTAAAAGTACGTAACTTTCGAACCAGACCAATTAGAGAATTTCGCAACCATTTCAAGACGGAATTTCTTTAGTGGTGGAAATCAGGCTAACCTGTGAGGGTGTTGTCATATTGGATATTCAGAATTCCGACCTGGTGGGAGTGCTAGAACACTGTCATACGTATAAACTACCCACAATCTAGGCATTCTTGCATTTAAAATACGCGTTTGATTTATTTGACTGGTCTGCCCTTAGAACGCTTTCTCAGCAAGGAAGTTTGGCTCGGAAGTTTGTCAATATAGTGCTATTAGCATTCTCAGAATTTCCCTCGCGTGAGCTTGTACCTGGAGCTTTCCGAAAGCTTTCGTACCCACTGTGTCCCACAAGGATCACCATTCCTATACAGTTTCGCGGTCGACGAGATAATGGGTTGAATGCTAGGTCTTCGAATAGCTGCTGACGAAAAGCTTGTCGACCTGGAACATGCAGACGACACCGTTCTCCTCTTCGAAGGAGAGATTAATGCGTGGGTGTTTTGGACGAGCTGACCAGTGTCATCCTGTCCTTTGGTATGCGTTTTCACCCAAAAAGTGTGAGGTCATGCTTCTGAACATGCCACTTGTAGTCTAGGGAGACGCACTCGAAGGTGCGGAGCGTTTCACGTACACTGGAAGTTGTATAAGTTCTGCCTATAGTGTCACAGTTGAGGTCAGTGCACGAGCCTGTTGGGTTCGGATAGTGCGTGCTAATCTTAGATACTTATGACGTCAAAGCGGTATATCCCTGAATCTCAAGGGACATGTGTGTCAGGCTACAGTGCGGTCTGTCTTGTTGTGCGGTTGAGGCGTGGCCTGCACGAGCAATGGAACCTACACATCTTCAGGTTCTAAACAACCGTTGTCTCAGAACGTGAGCTGATGCCGGAGAATCCGGTACGAGATAATCAGAAAAGCAGTTTTTGGTTGTGCAACAGGGACTTCAGTCAAGGAGTCTATCTAACGGCAAAAACTGTTTTGGTGAGGCAATATATCGCGCATAGGAACTATCGTTCGCCAGGGAGAATAATGTTTTCCGTGTCCAATTCAGAGTGACGTAACAATAGAGGTGGTCAACCCGTGGCGTCGTAGAGGAGGTATGAAAGGGACTGAATAATTTAGGTACTGTTGATTCTACTCGCCTTCCATGATGGGAATTGCTTGATCCCTACTGCCTAGGCGCCTCGGAATGATTGTGTTAAGCTATCACTAAGTCCATTCTCATCCACTTTTTTCTTTTCCTCACAATTAGGCTTTTGCATGAATTATGGTTTTACGGAAGCGAGACATCAGGATTAAATATTAATGTTTTGCTGTCGATGATGATATGGTTTGTGGGATGATAACATTTTGCCGGAAACTACACGATCACAGCGAATATACAATCATTTGCAAACCAATTTGATTTTTCGACCGATGAGTGTAGATTCGCTAATTTCGTGCAATTCGGTTTCAAGTAGAACATAAGGTTGACGGAAACTCGGGGACTGCGCCTACCTGATGAGCCCCGAATAGAGCGAAACCGGTTGTGGGCTGTCGACGGATTTTCAGCAACCCTATGAGTAGTCCATTACAAATATACGCGCTCACATATTTTTCTGTGGTGATAAACTTGGTTTTTCGTTTGTCTTTGGCGTGTCTTGGGGACGACTGTTGTGAGAGGATTTCCCTTAGGGAACCTTGCTGTAGTGGACTTTCAGCCCCAGAGCCCGTGGTGCCTGCGTGGAGCGACGTTTGAAGGACCTGGAAGGGTTGGTTACCCTCTATCTCCCGGTTGCATATGGACTTATATTGGTAAAGGTACCCGAAAGCTGGAATTATGGCGTTAGAAGCGTTTAACTGAGTATTATTCAGGCGTTGTATGCAAAGGTTCCGCGTGAAGCCAAAATGATGTCATTGGCATGTCAATCCGTCACCCAATCGTGAACAGATGCATTTGAAGTAAAATGGATCAACTCCCTGTCTTTGCAGCTATTCTTTTGAGGTGCATTCTAAGAGGATTAAGGTTTTGACAGAAAGCGGGTTAACATCAGCGGAACCTCAGGTCATATTTTTCAAGGTAGCTTATATTCCGAGAGAATTCTTGGGGGTAGGGGTCTACGACTTTCTAGATATTCATTCTAAGGGTCATCTAGTTGTAATCCCTAATGACTAAAACATTACTATGGTGGTACTAGTTCTCAGTTGGAGTCCAAGCACGTTGTTGCAAACAGGGTATTGCATGTCCAAGCTGTTTCCGACATCCCCCCTTTCCGGTCATTTACCTGCAGTTCTTAAATTCCATCATTGATCCGCCCAAAATGGCCTTCAGCGTTTACATTTTCAACAAGCACTGGAAGTTTCTTTCATCCATGAGCGATAGTATTCACGGAATGCAATTTTTAAGTCGCTTAAGTATGAACTGAAATCCAAATCTTCGATGTCCGACGCTCAAGCTGTAGGATTCATTTTCATACTGGCCAGAAATTTAAACGGTAAAACTTGGAGGCTTGACTCCGATGGAACAGCCTAAACGAGCAAAATCCGACCGGCCTCCCACACAGTAGCAATGGCGACTGTCGCGTGCAGCTGAGAATAGTCATTCGTTCCTTCCAAATACTAACTCTCGACGTAACACCCGTCAGTGTCGCACTTTGGACCGTCCTAATCAAACCCGGACACAAGTTGATGATATTCCAGTAGGTTTTCTTTGGCGTTACGGATGTTTCTGAGATACATTTGATGACTCAGACCATGAGCTAGTACGGACCAAAACGACTGTGCTTCGGTGAGTTCCTAAATAATGGATATATATTCTCAAGTTAACCCATTTTGATCGTGTTCACCTTATCGGTATGTTATAAGTATATGTGTACGAAACTTCATAGTATGTTTTTCGTCCCGTATACTCGTTGCTGTTTACTGTGCCTTCGGCTTGCTTAGTCTTCGTTTTCGTTGTATGCAGCTTCCCGAGGATATTTACAAGTCACACCTGGAGACTGTACGATCCACGCTCAATCCAACCCTTGACTCAGCAAGAGCTAACCTCGCCGCATCCTACGTTAACGGTCTGGTCAACTGTGGCTTTGGCAAGGAAAAGTTGCTCCAGGAAAACCCCAAAGAAGTTCCGTGGCTTGTAAAACAGAAAGATCTTGGTAAGTCTCCTCGTCGAATGCCAAATTTACGGTTACATCTAGCTGTCCAGTTTGACCTAATCTACCTTCATTGTTGTACGAATTTGTCAGGTCATATCGTGTCACCGATTAATATTGAATACCTTCCTTCACTAGAATGTTCACTGCAGTCTTCAATCGGAGTTGGTTTCCGCGTCAATGGGCACTGATTCCTTTAGTTTCTCTGAATATGGCACACAGACCCAACGACTTTGTTCTCCCTTTTTACCAACCGCAACATAGATTGCAATTGTGTTATTGTGTAAATCTGTTATTTATAAAGCTTCCCGACTATATTTGGTGTGTCATACTTCATCTGCGTGATACATGCAATCATTGAGTTTGAGCTCCTACATTTTGGCTTGTAATTTTTCTTGGATCATGTCGGAGTCTTCAGTTGGTACTTTCATTCTCTCTTGTATTACAGCAAAGATGAGTACTGTGGCCACTCTTGGTTGGGTGCTCCTCTGGGACGTGGACACTGGTTTGTCCCAAATCGACAAATACCTGTATTCAGCGGAGGATCACACTCGTGCTGGAGGTCTGCTCGGATGTGGTGTAGTCAACTGTGGTGTGAAGAATGAATGTGATCCGGCTTTGGCACTGCTAGGCTCCTATGTTGAGTCTGACAAGGATGTCCTTTCACGGGCTGCCATCATCGGTTTGGGTGTCGCCTACGCCGGATCAATGAAAGCTGAAGCCATAAATAGTTTGCTTCCTGTGATCCTCGATATCAACACAGCTCGGTTGCAACACGCCTGCTTGGCTGCACTGTCGGCTGGTATGATCGCCGTGGGCTCTCTTAATGCTGAGGTTACGTCAACCATTATTCAGTCGATGCTTGAACGTCCCACAAGTCATTGGAGCAATCCATTCATCAAGTTTATGGCTCTTGGTTTGGGTTTGACATGCATGGGACGGCAAGAAGAGGTAGAGGTCATACTGGTTTCCTTGGAAGCAGTATCTGAACCACTGAAATCAATGGCTCACATGATGTGTGACTTTTGTGCTTACGCTGGTGAGTATATGGGTGCATTGCCATTTGTGAAGTAAGACTGTTCTTCGAATTTTTCTGTTTTCGTGTTTCATTTTTGAAGTCAGCATTTCAACAAACTTCATTTCTACAAATTCAAGGTCCCGGCTTGACCGGACGTAGATAGGAGCATCAATTATGAGAATTACGTGTCTGTGGACGACCCTCTTGGATGCGTTGCCCTCTTTTCCCTATAATTGGTAGACAAACAACAGGCAATCACTTTTGTAGGTCACTGTCGGAAACAGATCCATTGTGCATTTTGTAGTTTCTGTAACTTTGCTCAAGACTTATGTTTGTTTACTCATTGGTTCCTATTCAGGAAGCGGAAATGTGTTGAAGGTTCAAAATCTACTCCATATACTTTCTGAAAAGTACGAAGAGAAGGATAAAGAAAAGGATGACAAAGCAGCCGCTGCAGCCAAATCTAAGGATAAAGATAAGAAGGATTCTCGCCGCACCGGTGCTCGAGGACGACAGCGACGTACTGGCGCTGGTCGTAACACGAACAATGAGGCTGCTGCCGAAGATGATGGGAACACAGCTGAGGCGGATGAGGTCGAAGATAAAGGTGCCACTCAACTAACTCCCATGGATACATCGAATGTTGAGGACACCGAACAGGAAGAAAATCAATTTGATTTCCACGCGCATCAGGGGCTCGCCGTACTAGGTGTCGCCCTGATTGCCATGGGAGAAGAAGTGGGCCTTGACATGGCGTTTAGAATGTTTGGTCATCTGGTAAGTGGTCCTTTCATCTACAATGTAGTAACTAGTTGGTCCGAACCTCATGTTCTTAAGACAGGTGTGCATAAGGGGGAAGTGGCAAATTTTGTATGGAAATTTTTTTGGATATCTATCAGATCAGCGCACCGAGGTGCGTGCTTGAACTGGGATGTCCTAAGAAAAGGTCACCAACAAGCTACCAGAGTTACCAATCTTCCGCTACATATTAAAAATGGTAAATTATTCCGTTTAATCACCGCTCGGTGTCGAACCGTGAGAAACTCGGTTGGGGATAGTGTCTCACTTTATTCTCCGGAATTGACCACAACACACGCTGCGGTGCCGTTAGACGAATACTGTATTCCCGGCTGACTGACTCGCAATTCCTTGGTATCATACTCTCCTGCTACTTGGCGGTACGAATGAAAAATTAAGGTAATAATCGTTCAGCTGTGACACCGTTCTGGTGCCTGGCTGCCGTGTCTAGCCCGAAGGAATTACGAGGACTGGAATACTGCCGGGTTTCCCAAGCCTAGACAGGAGAATTCGAGATGCAAAGGTCAGGTTCGAACCACGAGTCTTCCGGTCGGTGAATTCGAGGTCTAACCATTGAGCCATCTCGCCCCTTCGGCCGTAGCTCATCAGGATTACTTCGATATTTTAAGCGTTCGCTCAGCTGAACCCAGGCGATTTTCACCTTGCACACTTAGTTAAGGACTATAAAATTGATACAGTATTATTTGCAAATGAACCTTCAACTCCACAGCAGTTTTTCTTTTAGTATTTTGATGCTTCAGTTCAATGAGTTCTTGCATTTCTACAGAGATTAAGTTTGTTATTTTCTCGTTGAAGCAAGCGCCCGGTTTTTGTCAGCATACATTCTAGCCATTGTCTGGGTTCGTAATAATTCAAGTTGTGTTGTGCTGGATGCGGCTTCATAAGGTATATTGCTTTCATCGACCTGTTACGCCCTTAACACCAGCTTATCTCTTACAATTCTTTGTTCTTTTGTTTATGGTTAATTTAGCTTCGTTTCGGTGAGCTGCCTATCAAACGAGCTGTTCCTCTGGCACTCGCCATGTGTTACGTCTCGAATCCGCAGTTGAAGGTACTGGATACTCTCAGCAAGTTCAGTCACGATGCAGATTCCGAACTTTCTTACAACTCCGTTCTGGCGATGGGAATCGTCGGTGCTGGTAAGTAACCGGCTTGACTGCACTTCTACGTTGTGATTGTCTTATGGGTCTGCGGTCAGCATGACACATCTCAAAGCAACAGTACACGTATTTTAGTAGCGGTGGTGCAACAAATACTTCCCATAGGAACCACTTGTAGTCAGTGCCGTCAAATTTCAGTTGTAGCTCTTTTTAGAATGAGTTCAAGCGTTTTTCGTAGCAGTAGCTAGGTCACTATGTCACCGAAGAGTAAAAATAAATTATATACTAAGTTTCTTTCTGGTTTATGGGCAAGCGCCGGGTGGCAATGCCCTCTCGAGTACCGTTTTTGGCTGGTACTTTCAGTGCTAGTTGCATGGGGGACATTAACGTATATCTTAGGAACCGGTTAGGGGTAACTTCCGAGGTTCAGCTGCACGAACCATCTAACCAGCCAATTACGTGTGACGGGTATCCTCCCCGGATCCTTGCGATATCTAACCACACGTGATGATACTCCGTTGTGTACAGCTATGTTTTCTTTCACCTACGATGCCTTTGCCTAGCTGTCTTTTGGAGCCTCTGCGACCAATGCAATATTAAGAGACAACCAAATTTTCCAAACTTTTTCTGGCTTTTATTCAATCTTCCAGGTGATACTTCTTTCTCATCCATGGTACCTTATTGCATCTCCTGAATATGCTTTCATTTTATTCTAGGCACAAACAACGCTCGATTGGCAGCCATGCTCCGACAACTGGCCGTATACCACAGCCGTGATCCCTACAACCTGTTTCTCGTCCGCTTGGCTCAAGGTTTGACTCACCTAGGCAAAGGCACAATGACACTGAGCCCATGGCATTCAGAGCGTTTTTTGTCACGCGCAGTTGGCATATCCGGTTTGCTCACCTTGCTGGTCTCCTGTCTGGACATGCGCACAACATTCATGGGTCGGCACGATTATTTGATATTCTATCTGACACCAGCAATCCAGCCACGGTTGCTCATGACATTTGACGAGGACTTAAAACCGTTGCCTGTCACAGTTCGTGTCGGGCAAGCTGTGGATGTCGTTGGGCAGGCTGGTAGACCGAAAACTATTACTGGTTTCCAAACTTATACAACCCCGGTGTTATTGTCCTATGGCGAACGAGCCGAACTTGCAACAGACGAATACCTGTCAGTTACACAGTTGCCATTGGAAGGCTTCGTGCTGTTGAAAAAGAATCCAGAGTACGAAGAAGCGACCGCATGAGACCCATTGTTCTGCGTCACGTTTCTCTGCGTGGCCTAATCTTTCACTCACTGTCTTATTGAAGCTTATCACTGTTACATTTTCAAAGCGAGCAGTATTTCCCGTTGTATCTGCGTTTTCCCTACGACGATTCTGCTCGGTTGCGTTGGA